TCAGCATTATGGCTTTGGTTTTGTACTTAGTTTTTGCAAAGTGATCCTAGGAAAATATAAGCTATTTATGAAAAATACGTATAGAATCAACCAACGTATTTTGTCATGTCGATCTATTTCAACCCATTTTGCTCAAAGTAAAATATTGTAATTGTGATCACTTTGAATAATTATTATTTTTGTGACCAAAAAAAAAATAGCTATTATATTTTGCTAGGGCAAAAGCTGTTGGTGGGAGAATTGGTCATCTTTTTCTGAGGATTTTAACATTAGTATTATGCATTATAATTATGCATTTCTTTTTTGTAGCCATGGGATTTGGATGATTTAATACAAATCCATGGGAATATTGCAAGGAATTCTTCAGTTGTGGGTGACAGTGATGGTGAAGAGAAGGACGTGAATAGTCTTCCGAAATCTTTCTAAGGTAATACCGGCTTTGGGAATTGTGTAATAGTTAATTGTGATAGTTACAGTTGCATTCAATAAACTAGAGGGTATTCTTTGATTGCACTTGGCCGTCTTGGATTTATGATATGTGCATCTTGCACGAATGAGCATTGGTAGTTAACCTGACAATGTAAACCCATTAGATCTTAGAAACCTCTTCTTTTATGATTTGAAATTGCTTTATCATTTTCTTCTTTTGGTTTTGCGGGTTTCTTACAGGTCTAAAAAGCTTGTGGTAAAACAAACCTTGAATGATGCCTTAACAAATTGATAAGGTATTGCTGTTCCATTTCTGATGACCATGATGGTTATTGGGAAGAAGGGCCGCTTCTAGGACCATCTTAATTAGGTAATTTCTTTTGTTTTGAATCCATTAATTAAGATGGCTGAGACTAAGGTCTATTCTATAATATCTGTCATCAAGTTCATTTTTTTCCTTAAAACTATTAACTCAAGCTGTGTATTTTGTTACTGTTCCAAGTCAATTTAATACCCAATAAGAGAAAAGCCCTGTTCTTGAGTTTTAAGAGTAATTCAATTTCTTTCTTCCTAACATTCTTTGTTTCTGTTTGATAGCTCTACTTTGATGAAATTGATCGAAAAAAATTAATAACTAAAAAATATGTGTCCATCCGATTTCTTACCCTACTTCATAGTTAATTATTTTGGACGAAATTCGGGTAAAAATAGTACACTTGATCTCGTAAGATCGGCCAAAAAAAATTTTTAAATATGGGATAAGACGATGAAATATTATAATTTTTACTCGTAAGATAAAGTGAAGACCAGTAATTCTAACCCGTGTGTCTTGCATGTTGGCACGTCACTAGTCATTAAGAAACCTATGCACCCGCCTTCTTCCTTTTTCCTTTTCTCCCTTTTCTTTCATTTCTGCACTACTGCACTAAACCTGACGACTAAATATTGAATGTAACACTAATATCACGTCACTACTATGTTACCATTGATGACATGACATCACCAACTAATAATAAAATCTTAGATGAAAAATATGAACCCCACTTAGACTTATATGACAAAAAAGTGAAAAGTTATTTACTTACATGATAAGTTAGTTATTGATTTTATGAGATCTATTTGTTTATTTGTTTTAGTATTATTGCTTAGTAATATCATATCATCTTGTCACGTGGTATCATCGTCGACCGATGTTATAATATTTTCTCCAAATCTGATGACTTTGGTTGATAATGCAATAATTACACTTTGCTCCCCTTATTTAATTATTAATTATACTTTCATCCCATTAAATACGCTTTCATCCTGTTAAGAAGTTAATTTTCCTATTGACTCCCTATAATTTATAAGTAGTTTCAATATTTATATATTAATACATACTTTTTAACTTCTTTCCAAATAATTACTTTTAGTATCCATACCTTCTATAAAATTTCTAGCCCCAAATTTCGGGATGTTAACAATCCACCCCTAAAATAAAGTTTCGTTCTCAAAACTTGCAGTTGGTAATTACAACCTCTGTACACTTTGATACCATTTGCAATAATTTAAATCCTAAACCAATAACTTTGTCTTTAACCAACTTATACATCATAACAACAAAAATTTAGCTAACCCACTTTCCACAAATATCATCTAAAGATCTAAAGCATAGGTTCTCATACCACTTGCAATGCATCAATTTCTTGGTCATGTTAACTAATAAATCAACCACAATATACCATATATATATATCTCCAAATATAAGGTCAAAACTCTAATTTCTTTAAAATAAATTAGAGTCTCCACAATATACATACGAATTTCTCCAAATTTAATATTACATCAATAAAAGAAAAAAATTACAAATCTTCAATTCTTTGATATTAAACTTTGGTCTTTACCATTCAAATCATTCTTAAAAATATTAAAAGCAAAAAAGTATACAATACAACAGAATATGATTTGCTCAATAATAAAAATACTGACATTTGAAGACCAAATAAGTCAATTGATAGAATAGATGGCTAAAGTGTTTGGCCAAATAGGCCAAATTGTCAATATGACCGGATCAAAAGCGAGACCGAGCAGATCTCACAAGCAGTCTTCCAAATGGAATCATTCAGTACATGAGATAGTCAGGCTATCCCGACAAATTAGAGGTAGGGTTGGACTGATAAGAACGTTGCCTAAATCATAAGAGAGTATTATAAGTGTACCCTAACTAAAGGGCAAATGACAAGAGATCTAGAAGAAATCCCAGCATCAATCAAAAGTAATCCTACAAAGAATTAGGTGTGTCATTTAATATAGCCAACAGTTGAATCTTGGCAGAATAGTTGTCATGCAATGCTATAAATAACAGGTGATACTTAAGTCTAAAGTACGCACTTATAATCTTGCAAACTTCTTTTCTTTCTTTCAGAACCTTTATTGATTTAAATATCGGAGTGCCTCCAACTAACTTAGTCCCGTTCTCCGATAGTTTATTCATTTTGCAAGACACACAGGACAACCTTTGTTCACTCTTTCGCAATTAAACCAAAATCAAAATGTAAGAGATTTTTTCCTCTTACATTTACCATATATCCAATTTTAATAAATAGAAGGAAAACTCGATTTCAAGTCCTACGTACATGACTTTTCGGTTTATAAGTTCAACCTGTATCTTTTTTGTGGGTCATAAAGGACAAATTCAAAAAAAAAAAAAATTCCCTTGGAGATAATAACAATGCAAAAATACAAGGGATTTGATTGAAGTTTTTCCTTCATAAACCACCCACAATGGGCTAAAATCCGACAAGCAGGTCTAGCTCTATTCATCATGGATGGATGACAAATTCAAGCAACACCTATAATGTATATATTTATAGGCAAAAGAGCTTAAAGAACATAAAAAGAGCGGCCAAAACATACTAAATATAAGACAAGGATCTCTAGGACTAACAATGGTTAAGTTATCATTTACAATGATCAAATATTCAATGAGGTACATAAGAGTTAATTAAACATGAGCAAAACTAGTCTCAACGCATGTGGGTAAAATGTACATAAAACCCTTCTAAAATCTAGCAATGACTGGATCCTCGGGACATGATCATGTAAAGCTTCAAAGATCAACCTCATTTCCATAAACTTGGGCAGCTTGATTTGATCCATTTGAACATAATTGGGATGATGTTACATCATCGTAAGGAGATAAACAGAAGTCCTTGGTGGATTTACCATAGGCGGATAATTTCTCCAGTGTCTCGGATTGGCCAGTGAGCTGAATTGCTACAAGCTGATCCACTGCAGCCCAACCACGAAGCCCTTCCTCCCGTGCCTCGCCCATTTTGACAGTGCAATCACTGCTAGGGTTGATGCTTGAAGGTTCAGTTTCTGAGAGCATCTCATTGAACAAAAGACCACAATCCTCAAAACAAGAGTCTTGTTTAAAATCCAAATTATTCACAGGAAGTGATATTGAAGCAGCTGGAATTGCCGGACTTGGAATTGGAAAATGCAAGAACATATTGGGAAACTCCTCCCTGATTTCTCTGTCAATTTGATTCAGGTAATGCAAGATCTTATTGTTGTTGATTGTCCTATCGATGATTTCTCCTTTTCTTGCTTGCAACACTTTGTCTTGTTTTTTACTGTTTAATTAAGAACACCATCATTGTCGATTGAGTTATAAGGTTGGGTCTTTGAATCCGGAGACGACGATGTGCGTTGGGGACTCTGGAGGGTCTTGTGGAAGTTTCTCTTTTTGAAAATTCGGCATACAACCCAAGGATCTTCTAGAGTTGAAATACGTTTTAGATTCGAGCCCTGGATTAACAAAAGTATCATCGATTATGAATTCTTACATGTTCAAAGACTGGAGTCTATGAATCCATTGCTCAAGAGCATTACAACAACAGTATCCAAAAGTAATATAGTGCTATCAAAACATGACATTTTAGTTGTCTTTTGTGTTATGTATAATGTAGATGTGGTCAGTTAGAACCACGGTATTTCTCTTTCAAACTAGTATTTAAAAATCAATGTATTTTGAATTGAAAAATCAAGCACTGAAATTTCAATCGAAATAAAGATCCTGGCTTACCTTGGTCTCGTGGGTGCTATCATCTAGCCTATATTCATGGATGATCCAATCTGATTTTTGCCCATTTGGCGCCCACCCTTCGTAGAACACCAAAGTCTTCCTCAATCCAATTCTTCTATTGCAGCTGTATATGACCTTATCACGGCCTGTAGCATTCCAGAATCCGGCTGTAGTCACACTATTAGTGCGACTCCCGGCCGGGTATTTTCTATATTTGTGACAAAAGAAGTACCATGCATTTTGTGGGGTGCCTCCTATTTTGCACCTCTCTACAAAACCAAGAAAACCACAAACACCATAATTAGGGTAAATCATAAAACTTGCATAGATCATAGTAAATTGGATACTATAAAAGTTAAACATAGAAATGGAGGTTGAATTTACCTTGGATATCCCATGGTTCAAGCTTGTTAAGATCAACCTCACGAATTACATTGAAGTATATCATTTCATGGGCAACTTTCTTCCTCAAGTAGTAACACAGAAGCTCCTCTTCTGTCGGATGCAATCGAAAATCCGGAGGGACCTGAGACTGACCATTTACTGATAGATTCATTTCTCCGTACTACACTTATAGAGAGAGTAATATGTGAAATAGAATGAGATCAAATGAGCAAACAAGAGCAAATTAACGTAGGGGGTTCTGCAGAATTGGTGGCAAAAACGGATATTTATATGTGGGATGTAGGTGTCACTACGAGTGGGTGTGTGTAGGTTAAAAATGACAAAAACAGATGAAGCAAAACTATTAATGAATTCACCCTTATTTTATTAGCTTTAAGGTAGTGTTGGTTAGGGAGCTTTGCCAACAGCAGATCCACAACAATCAAAAAGATGTCTAATTATTATGAACTTCAATCATGTCTTTAGGGACAAAAAAGGAGAGGGGGGGGNATTTTTCAGATTTTAAGGCAATAAAATAGATCGAGTTTTGATTTTCTTTTCAATTCCTTGTGATGTGCATGGTTCTCGTGTGCAAAAATAATTGGAGTGTAGAATTCTAAAATATTAAAAAAAAAACAGATGAAACGAAATTATTGATGAATTCACCTTTTTTTTATTAGCTTTAAGTTGGTGAGGGGGCTCTGCCAACAGCAGATCCACAGCAATCAAAAAGATGACTAAATAATATGAACTTCAATCATGTCTTTAGGGAAAAAAAGAGGGGGGGGAAGGGGGGGGGAATTATATTTATCTCCGGCCATGAAGTTTTAATTAGTGATATATTACCTCCCTAAGTTTTTTAATCTATACACGTGATTTACCAACTCAAATTATAGAATGATAAAGTATATCACTAACTCAAACTATAGGGTGGTAATTCATTTTGCCAAAAAAAAAAACGCTGGAAAAAATGGATATGGATCGTGTATGAGCGGAAGTATATATAAGTCATGATGAAGGGGATTTTAGCTATATGGTTAAACATTTTGAGACATATAACACATAAAGTAGGTAAAATTCTACAGTATTGGAAAAAACAATTGACTTCTGTACTATCGATTACTAATTTTTATAGGTAAAATTCGTTTTAATTTAACGAATGTTATGTTAGGCATACAAAGCCTGATTTTTAATCAAGAGATTCTGTGTTGTTGCCTTATTAGGGATGACTTTTTTTTTTCTTTCTTATTTCCTTGAACTCGAGCTCGAGTTCGAGCTTGTAGTGTACAAGTAACCTAGTTGAACCAAGCCTGATTATAGGATTAACCAATTGAGCTTGAACAAGAATCCAAACTTTGTCATCAAGTTGAAATTTGTGATAATCACTTGTAGTTGATCATCAGCTTACAAAAACTCAAAAGACTTGACTCGATTAACATTTCCACCCACCTCCACCGGCCCTAAAAAAAACAAACCTAACATGCAGCCATTTTCAAAAAATTATTAAATGTGGTTTTTATTTTATTGGGAGGTTAAGCTAGGTTAATCAGTTATTTCCTGGAGACATGATGTCAACAAAGTTCTTATAAACCATAAATTAAAGTGAACTTTAATAAAAATAACAATAATTATACCAAAAGTTGTCAAATGAAATAATGTTTTGAACACCTCAATGATGTCAACATATTCCTATGCAAACAAATCACTAGCAAATAACATCCAATATATGTATATAACATACAAAGAATAAAGACACAGGAAAACCCCACGCACCACCCAAAAAATGATTGTGGTTGAAGCCATTACAAGAGGCAGGACAAAAATGAGCAATTTGAAGAAACATAATGATTGTGGTCATTATAATGTCAGTAGTTCTAAGCGCTAAATGCATTCGACTATCAATTAAATTATCACAATGCATTCCCTTTGGGTTTTTAAGTCATTATGATAGTAAAAATTGCAATGATATCACTAAAACTAAAAATCTGATCTCATTTACTAAATTGATGATATGATTTCATTGGAGAGTAAATAAATCAGGCCAGTAAATAGAGACAGATTTTTAAGTTCAAATAATATTATTCTACCGCTAATCAAAACATCCAAGACTATTAGTGTCTAACATAGCAGATACAACTTGATTATTATTGTCACAAAATAACTAAATGGAAAGTTACTCCAAGAAGGAAATAAGCAGATGTCGTCATGTGTCAAGCATTAAAAAATTACATACCTTTTGCTTTTCATATATGAGTTTTATGGTGGTATTAAGGTCGTGCACCCAAACATCTCCATAATCAGATGAAACGGCCTTCAGCTTTGGCGTGCTTAAGGATCCCAGAGAAAAGGCCTCCAATTCATCGCAACAAAAGACCGAGAGGAAATCTAAGGATGGAAGATCCAACCCATGTTTCACCTGAAAAAAGCTCCGTAGCTTGGGAAGATCGCCAAGTACCAAAGCTCTCAATTGAGGGAACAAAATTTCATTCTTCCTCCTTTCATCTTTTGCTTTTTTTTCTTCCTTTACAACTACTTCTTCCATCACTTGGCAATTTCGTATTCTCAAGTATCGAAGGTGCACGAGAGCCCTAGCCATAGAAGGATAGATTAAGTGTCTCAAATCGTTGCAAGATTCAACCTCCAGTTTTTCAAGTTTACTAAACGAACTAGTTTGGATCTGGCTGCACCATATCTCACTCACATTCTGCAATTGATAGAGTTCCAACCGCTTAAAGCTACCAAAAAGAAGCTGCAAAAATTCATAACAACACGTTAACATGCGCTTTATTTCAAAACAAAAATTAGATAAACAGTACAAAAGTCATTGACTATTTTGTAGATTATATGTTCAGATCCCCGACCCTTCAACTATATTTTTGTTTAGAGTTTTCTTCTTTCTAATTGAATATGGCCAAATTTCAAGGCCTTCATTTTTATCTAAAACCTTAATTCATTTCTAAAACTTCAAATAATAATCAAAGTATAAGACAGTCCCTACCAACCGCAGATTGAAAAAGTTGATCACAAAATTTGTCATAACTAACAAAAAATTTTAAAAAGGTCAAATATATTTAGCTAGCTTTATTCTGTTTTTTTTTTTTAAAAAAAAATATGTTTTATAGGCATTTTGCCAGCTTTACTTGTTTAATGTGGAGACAAATTTTCAAAACAGATGGCAATAGTCTTAGGAAGTATTAAAGAGAAACAAAATATTAAAAAATTTGATTTGCTCAATTAGAATAAATTAACAACACCTAATTTAGTCCCTCTTAATTGGGAGGGGTTGACTAGGTTGGTGCAGGCCATACAATTGACAGTAGTTGTACAAGTGATTGTACTTAAGTTTTGAACTCACAAAAACATCAAGGTTATTAAGTTGAATTTTAGCCACTGAACCACAAAAAAGTCTTGATGCTTCTACTTATATCCACCATTCTCCACCACCACCATCTCTCTCCACCACCACCATCTCTCGAAATAAAAAAGAAATAAAATAATTAAGTTCTTCAAGGTATAGAAAGATACGTACCTTTTGATCAAAAAGCAATTTCAATTCGAGGGTATTGTCATTGTAGCTGTTGGGGTAGAATTCCTTAATTATTGGCAGATTATAAACTTTCAAGTCATTCAATCGAGGGAACTCAATGCCATCAATCCTTCCACAAAAACGAATGAGACTTTGTAGATTTGCTAGATATATTGTCTTTAGTTTGGGGAATTTGATCTTGCTAGTTACATTTCCATCTCCACTTTCATCTGAAAAGACTTCTACCAGCTTGCCACAATTGCTTATGTGGAGTTCTTCGAGTTGAGCCATACCGCTAGCAATTGAGAGTGATAAAAGACTTCCCAAGCTCCCACATTCATGTAAAAAAACCAATCTAAGATTGCCAAGGCAAACATTTTGAGTCGGACACTTCCATAACTGTGTTAGTGAAGGTAAGCACCCCAGCTGCAACTCTTTTAGCTCGCTAAAGGACCCCGCCCCAGGAAGTTGGTCTCCACAAACCCCAATTAAATTAGCCAATTCTCTGAGATCAAGGGTATTCAAGATTGGAAAAATGAAAACACTAGGTTGGAGCCGCCCATCAACTGCATTAGTAAGATATTCCAGCTTACCACAGTTTTGAATCCTCAGTTCCTTCAAGTGTAGAAAACCATTCAAGTTCAACTCATCCACTACACTCTTTGAACCATCAGATTTCAACCATAGAACTTCAGATTCTTTTATTCGTTCACTAACCCAGTCTGGAAAAGTAGTTATTGTGGGGAGTGTGAGATGCATAAATTTGTGCCAATCATGTTCTACAGAATAGGCATGAGCACCGACATATATAGCATATCTTGTCAATTTCGAGCAAAGGCGTAGGCTTCTAGGAATAAGCTCCAATTCTCCTAGGCTAATTTCTAAAGTAGTCAATTTGGACAAAGACTCCAGATCTTTGAGGCTTGCGTTATTTCTTTTTTTACCATGTTCTTCAACTTCCCATGTGAATTCGTCCACGCCTTTGATAGGTAATGCTTGTACTCCGTACATGTCTTTCATGGATAATGCTTCTAATCCGGGGAGGTCTGTGATGACACCTGGTGGAATTTTTCTGAGACTTCTACAGTTCCACAACTCTAACAACCTGAGCTTTTTCAGATTTCCTATCTCTTCCGGTAGCACCACCATAGTGGGATCAGAAAGGCTAAGATTTTTTAGATTCACTAGCTTTCCAACTACAGACATATTTTCGATTGACAAGCTACCCATTATACGCAATGTCTGGAGGCTTGTCAGGAGTCCAAGTGACGATGGCAGTGACGCAATTTGCATATCCCGAATTTCTAAAACTTTGAGTTTTTTAAGTTCTGTAAAAAAATTGTCGGGTAGTTGGAAAGCTTTAAATGAATATATCTTACATACCAACAACAGAATCTCAAGCCTTAGACATTTTAACATTGGAGGAAGCTCGGTACTCTCATCTAATTTTATTGACATTGCTGTGGAATGTTCATATGTTGGCAGCTTCTTTAGGTTGACATCACGACCTATTAGAAAACTATCATGTACATCCTTGAATGCGATTGACATGCCTACGCGAACAACATCAAGCATTTCGGCATACTTTGGAATCCAATCAGTCTCTAGCAGTAGGAAATCATCTTTAAGTGTCTCAAACAAAGTACACACTCTGTTTCTTGCTTCCACGACAGATCCGATACCTCTAAACAAATTGAGACCCATTCCATATATAACGAGATCGTCAATTGATATATTAAAACCTTTCGGAAGTAAACAACAAAGCAAAAACAGATTCTTGGCTTCTTGGCTTTTCAGATTATTGTAACAGGACTGGAGTGGCTGGTATACATCAACACACACTTCTTGGAGCGTTTCGAAGTAACATCTTTTCAATTGTAGATGCGTATCATACCAGACGGAATCGCTTTTCTTCTTTAGTGCAGTACCAACAATAACAAGCAGACGCGGCAAACAATTGCATTCATCTGCAATTGATTGTTTCACTGGATCCCTCTCAAGATTGTCAACGGAAATGCCTGCCATCTCTGTGAAAACACTCCTTGCTTCTCTTATAGATAAAGGTTTTACTATGAAAATCTCAGCTCCCATATCACTGCAAACGCGCCGGTTCCGCGAAGTCAACATGATTTTGGATCCCCCGTCGTGGTCTTCTCCAAAGGAGGATATTCCTAATTCCTTCAAATCGAGCTTTTTCCAAACATCGTCTAAAATAATGAGGACTCCTTTTTTTTCTTTCTTCAATCTTTGTCTCAGTTGGTTTGCTCTGTAAGACAAATTCTCTCCTTTGACTTTCATACCCAATGGTTCTGCAACTTCGCATTGAATCTTTTTCAGGTCCGGCGTCTGAGAGACAACTACAATGATGACCTCATCAAACAGCTTCTTTTGTTTTGCCCATTCACCAACTTCTAGGGCAAGTTTTGTCTTCCCTACTCCCAACAAGCCACATATGCCTATGATATTGATCTCGGGATCCTCCAAAGCTGTCATTACTTCTTCCTCAATATGTCTTCGTGTTTTAGTCTCCTTACTATTTCCTTCCGTTGTGGATTCCATTTCCCCTAGACATCCAGGGACTGACACCTTCGAGAACTTTCCTTCAACACGGAATTTTTCAAGCTCCTGGGTCTTTTCCTTTGCTCTGCTGCTCCGGCAATAACGACACACTACACACCACCACCCATACAAACACCTTCCATTTTCTCTGTCTTCCTCTTCAAAAAAAATTCTTGCCTTTTCGACGAATTGATCTGCACGTAAAAGCCACAACCCAACATTTGGTTGGATAAGTTTTCCGTTCCGTGCGTCCTCGTCAACCCACTGTTGCACAGAAACTCTGTCCATCTTTAGGTTTTCAACTTGTTGATGGAAAGCCTGGACGTTCTTGTCATAGTCATTCAGATAAGTAAATCCAGTCCAAATCGGACCCAAGACTGGTACTATTGTTTTCACTATGTCCATATCGATATTTCTCCCTCTCGTTTTTCAAGAGAAAGTGAAAAAGAGATGTTACAAGGAAGAGAATAGTTTGTGGTGAAATTACAATGAAACAATAACAACAACAACGAGTTTGTGATGAAATTAAATTTAAAAGCAAGAAATGGAAGCTTTTAGGGGCTCGAACTCTTATCTGCTATATGATTGAACCTGGAGCGTATTATAAAGTGAGAGAGATGCAGATTCTTCGGTGTTTCACTAGTAAATGTATCAAGAAAAGATGAGATATTGAGCAGTCGCCTACTTGATCGGAGAGACCTCTAGCGCCTGTAAATTGCTATTGAGCAAAGGAGAGATTGCCAATTGCATCAGTTAACGCCAGTTCTGAATCAAAAGAAGAAGAGTAACAAGCAAAAGGAACGATAATGTATTTCAATGTGTGAAACAATAGACAAAGAAATTTAAAATTGGTATTATTACTTACATGTCGTAAGTAAAAAGAAATTATATTTAAAGATGCCGACCATAGATAGAAATTATAATGTAACTTCTCATTTGGTGTTTATACATAGAAATTATGAACTTTAAATTTAACTCGTGAATTCAATTCCATTAAGCAAGCACCTGTATGATCATTGTCTCTTGATCAAGCAATATGCATCAATTCAAAGAGGTTAGAGCCCCCATTAGCAAGTTAACATAGACAACACAGTTTTCTTCTCCACCTATTCACTACTTTAATGCATATCAAACTCACTATAGCTGTATCCAAACGACATATTTTTCCTCTTTCACTCATTGTTTTCTTCATTCTCATAACTTGTTTATTCTCATTATTTTCTTCATTTCATTCTACACCGACAGAATCACTTAATATATCTTCTTCCATGTCCATACATAATATATCATTCTTCGAGAAACGATGACAACATTAGAAATGATGTTGCCAAAAAATTTTGATTCCTTAGAATCCAATAAAGGGGTAATTCATTTGACTTTAATTCAAAGTAGTTGGTTGTGTTGGGTTTCCCTCCTTAGTGGGACTCATCAATTTGCTAATTTTTTGGTGGCTTACCCGTGTAGGACTCTTATCCAAGACTTGGTTTGGAGTCTTCTAGTTAAAAAGGAATTTGGCAGCCATCAAAGACTATAAGTTTTGTCCTTTTCTTTGGTTCATCTATTCTCTGTTGGTTTGGCAAGAAGACATATTTTTCGGCAGTCTTTCGTTCAACAAAAATTCAGCCTTCTTCTTCTCCTTTTTTTGGTGCCAGAAAAATCTGCAAATTTGTTCTTCAAGTGGGTAATATTTCTTCACTTGATATTTGGGTTTCTTGCGGTTTGTTCTTGGAGATTTGGTTCACTTATTTTGTGAGGTATTTTCCTCTTGTGATTTACACCTTGGTGTGTTTGTAAGGCTTATGCCTTTTGGCCACTTTGTAATCTGATTTGGTGATAGTGGAAGAAACTGACCTACCGGTCGTCGTGGATGTACCTCAAGTTATTTGAGGGAACCACGTAAATCTTGTGTGCTTATTTATTTTCTGTTATTTTATTTATATTGCTTCCATTGATTTACACTTGTGGGAAAGCCTATTTTCCCAACATCTGGTATCAGAGCAATTGGTTAATTCGGTTCCGATTCGTTATATTTCTGTGTGTGAATTATGGACGGCAACGTTGGACGTATGGTTAGTTTCAATGGCACAAATTGGGTGACTTGGAAAACTAAAATGGAAGATCTTTTATTTTGTAAAGATTTGAATGGACCCATAGAGGGTGATAGTGGCAAACCGGAAGGGATGAAAGATGACGAGTGGAAAAAGCTAGACCGGAAAGCTGTCGGTTTTATTCGGCAATGGATTGATGATAGTGTCTTTCATCATGTCTCTACAGAAAAATCTGCACATGGTCTTTGGACCAAATTGGAGAGTTTGTATGATAGAAAGACGGCAGTGAATAAAGCCTTTTTATTTCGAAAGCTTGTGAACTCTAAATATAAGGAGGGTACTTCTATTGCAGAGCATTTGAATGAGATTAAGAGCATTGTGAATCAGTTGGCCGCCATGAAAATTACTTTTGATGATGAGTTGCAAGCTTTGTTACTTCTTAGTTCACTTCCCGAAAGCTGGGAAACTTTGGTGGTCACAGTTAGTAACTCCGCACCTGATGGAGTGGTAACAATGAGTCAAGTTACCAGCAGTTTGTTGAATGAAGAAACAAGAAGAAAATCATCAGGTTCTTCTTACTCCGAGGCACTTGTAATGGAAAACCGGGGGAGAGGCAGGAGTAAGAGTAGGGTTCCGCACAACCGTGATAAATCTAGAGGTCGTTCAAGCTCGATGTCAAAAAAGGATGTTGAATGCTATTATTGTCACAAGAAAGGGCACATGAAGCGGGAATGTAGAAAACTCAAGTTCAAGGAGCAGAACAAAGAGAAAAATTCAGAGAAAAAGCAAATTGATACAGCTGTAGTTACCGATGATGAATTCATGATTATCCGTGATGATGCTAGCGTTAATTTGATTGGCCAAGAGACGGATTGGGTAATTGATTCTGGAGCTTCATTTCATGTTACTTCGCGGGCTGATTTCTTTACTTCTTACTCACAAGGTGATTTTGGGAATGTCCGTATGGGAAATGAAGATGTGTCAAAAATTGTCGGCATGGGTGACATTTGCTTGGAAACAAATATTGGATGCAAATTGCTGCTTAGAGATGTGAGGCATGTACCAGATATTCGACTCAATTTAATCTCTGCTGGAAAGTTAGATGATGAAGGCTACATCAACAATTTCAGTAATGGAAAATGGAAGCTCTCCAAAGGTTCTCTAGTGGTAGCAAAAGGAAAGAAGACTTGTTCTCTTTACACTATGCAAGCAAAAATCTGCAAGGGTGTTGTGAATACCTTAGAGAATGACTCATCCACTGATTTATGGCATAGAAGGCTTGGACATATGAGTGAAAAAGGATTGCAAGTTTTGTCCAAGAAAGAGCTTCTAGTGGGGATAAAAGGTACGCCTTTGAAAACTTGTGTTCATTGTTTCCATGGTAAACAAAACAGAATATCATTCCGTAGAAACATTGCATCTAGAAAATCTCATGTTTTAGATTTGGTACATTCTGATGTATGTGGTCCTTTGAAAGTTAGGACACTTGGTGGTGCTCTATACTTTGTCACTTTTATTGATGATCACTCTAGAAAAGTTTGGGCTTATACACTGAAAACTAAAGATCAAGTTCTAGATGTGTTTAAGATTTTTCAGGCCAAGGTTGAAAGAGAAACAGGTAGACAGTTGAAATGTGTTCGCTCGGATAATGGTGGTGAATATATTGGACCATTTGATCAGTATTGCACAAATCATGGTATCAGGCATGAAAAGACAGTTAAAAAGACACCTCAACAGAACGGGGTTGCAGAGAGAATGAATCGCACCATTCTTGAGAGAGTCAGATGTTTGCTCTCACATTCTAAATTGCCAAGATCCTTTTGGGGTGAGGCAATGAGGACCGCAGTTGATCTTATCAATTTGTCTCCTTCAGTTCCGTTGAATGGTGATGTGCCAGAGAAAGTTTGGACAGGGAAGGAAGTCTCCTATGATCACTTGAGGGTATTCGGCTGCAGAGCTTTTGTTCATATTCCAAAAGATGAAAGGTCCAAGCTTGATCCAAAAGCAAAGCAATGCATATTTCTTGGCTATGGGCATGAAGAATTTGGATACAGGTTGTATGATACAGTTGACAAGAAAGTTGTCAGAAGCCGAGATGTTGTTTTCTTGGAAGATCAGACTATTGAAGACATCGACAAGCTTGAGTCAGCTGATGTCTAGTACTGATGATCTGTTGATTTAGATCCTCTCAATCCCTCTGCTGTTCATGATATTGATGAGGAAGTGCAAACACCTCATGATGATGCAGCAGAAGATGATGTTGAGCCAGAGATTGAGGGGGAGCAACCACCCCAAGAGCCACTACCACAGACACAGTTAAAGAGATCTACTAGAGAAAAACAGTCATCCAGAAAATATTCTTCAAATGAATATGTGATGATATCAGATCAGGGGGAGCCAGGGACTTATCAAGAAGTCTTGAAGCATGAGAACAAAACTGAATGGTTCAAGGCAATGAAAGAGGAAATGAAGTCTTTGCATGAGAATCACGCCTATGATTTGGTGAAGCCGCCTAAAGGGAAGAAAATTTTGAAAAATAAATGGGTCTTCAGACGAAAGAATGATGGGAACAGTTCTCAACCGAGATTCAAGGCACNGAGGGAATGAAGTCTTTGCATGAAAATCACACCTATGATTTGGTGAAGCCGCCTAAAGGGAAGAAAATTTTGAAAAATAAATGGGTCTTCAGACGAAAGAATGATGGGAACAGTTCTCAACCGAGATTCAAGGCACGACTTGTCGTGAAAGGTTTTGATCAGAGAAAGGGAGTTGATTTTGATGAGATCTTCTCACCAGTTGTGAAGATGTCCTCCATTCGAACTGTGCTTGGTATAGCTGCGAGTATGAATTTAGAAGTTGAGCAGCTTGATGTGAAGACCGCATTTTTGCATGGTGACTTAGAAGAGGAAATTTATATGGAGCAACCTGAGGGCTTCAAAGATAAGGGTAATGATCAGTTAGTTTGCAAATTGAAGAAGAGCTTGTATGGATTGAAGCAAGCACCGAGGCAGTGGTACAGAAAATTCGATGCTTTCATGAGTGAGAATGGGTATTCAAGAACCACTTCAGACCATTGTGTGTTTGTGAAGAAATATAAAGATGGTAATTTTATTATTCTCTTGCTTTACGTTGATGATATGCTTATTGTGGGCCAAGACACGAGTAAGATTAGCAAGTTGAAGTCAGAGTTGAGTAAGTCCTTTGCCATGAAGGATTTGGGTCCAGCAAAGCAAATTCTTGGGATGAGAATTGTTCGTGACAGATCACATGGGCTGATTTGGTTATCTCAAGAGAATTATATTAAAAAGGTTCTTGAGAGGTTCAATATGGACAAAGCAAAGCCTGTTAATTGTCCACTTGCAGGCCACTTCAAACTAAGCTCAAGTCAGTGTCCTACAAGTGATGAAAAGAGAAATGAGATGCAGAAAATTCCCTATGCTTCAGCAGTTGGTTCTTTGATGTACGCCATGGTTTGTACTCGACCGGATATTGCTCACGCAGTTGGGGTTGTCAGTCGATTTTTGTCTAATCCAGGGAAAGAACACTGGGCAGCAGTGAAATGGATTATGAGGTATCTTCAGGGCACTTCAAAGATGAGTTTGTGTTTTGGTAAAGGCGAGCCTATTCTTGATGGGTTCACAGATTCTGATATGGCTGGTGATGTTGATAGTCGAAAATCTACTTCTGGTTATTTGATTACTTTTGCAGGGGGAGCAGTGGCATGGCAATCAAGATTACAGAAATGTGTTGCTCTCTCCACCACAGAAGCTGAGTTCATCGCCATCACTGAAGCTTGCAAAGAATTATTGTGGTTGAAGGAATTCTTACAAGAGTTGGGTTTGAAACAAGAAAGGTATGTCCTTCATTGTGATAGTCAGAGTGCAATCCACTTGAGCAAGAATTCTTCATTTCATTCGAGATCGAAACATATTGATGTTAGATATCATTGGATTCGTGATGTCTTGAATGATAAGTTGTTACAACTTGAAAAAATTCACACTGATGATAACACTTCGGATATGTTAACTAAGGCATTGACTAAGGACAAGCATGAGAAGTGTCGACTTTTGGCGGGAATGGTCGAATCCTCCACATAAGTCGGGAGGGGGAGTATTGTTGGGTTTCCCTCCTTTGTGGGACTCATCAATTTGCTAATTTTTTGGTGGCTTACCCGTGTAGGACTCTTATCCAAGACTTGGTTTGGAGTCTTCTAGTTAAAAAGGAATTTGGCAGCCACCAAAGACTATAAGTTTTGTCCTTTTCTTTGGTTCATCTTTTCTCTGTTGGTTTGGCAAGAAGACATATTTTCGGCAGTCTTTGGTTCAACAAAAATTCAGCCTTCTTCTTCCCTTTTTTGGTGCCAGAAAAATCTGCAAATTTGTTCTTCAAGTGGGTAATATTTCTTCACTTGATATTTGGGTTTCTTGCGGTTTGTTCTTGGAGATTTGGTTCACTTATTTTGTGAGGTATTTTCCTCTTGTGATTTACACCTTGGTGTGTTTGTAAGGCTTATGCCTTTTGGCCACTTTGTAATCTGATTTGGTGATAGTGGAAGAAACTGACCTACCGGTCGTCGTGGATGTACCTCAAGTTATTTGAGGGAACCACGTAAATCTTGTGTGCTTATTTATTTTCTGTTATTTTATTTATATTGCTTCCATTGATTTACACTTGTGGGAAAGCCTATTTTCCCAACAGGTTGACCACTCATGGACATTATATGCATTGTAAAATGATATACATATGAAGAAAATACAAAATTTGAAAAAATACACATTCCTATATATTAATCTAAAAAAAAATAAAAATACAAAATTTGCCCCTCATTGCATATGATGAACTCAAAATCAAAACTCCAAGTATTCAATGCCTAAATTTTTTATTGAAGTGTGTCGATTATGCACTTGCACACAATGTCAATGAAAGTGTTCCCATAAATAAATTCTTTATATTATAAGAACCACTCTGTATACATTAATCACAAAAAGAAAAAATAATGTTAAACGTGCCAACAGAAATAAGGATTACCTGGTTATAAAATGGATGGATGAATATGGACAATCGATATTGCTGGAAAGTTGAATATTGGATGAACAAATTAAAAGATGGAATGAAGACACTAGCTGGTAGAATGCATGAGAAGGAAGACTGGGACTAGGTACTAAATGATGGAAAACGAATGAAAGAAAGGCCAACAGGCAATAGAAATGTGAATGAAATGCAAATCCAAATTCAAATGAAATGTGAATTTAAGAAAATTTCAATTTCATTGTGATTTTATATTTCTGAAATGAGCTGTAATTTGTTAACTCCAGAGATTCCATACAAATGACCTAAAAAGTATTAAGTCTATTGGCTAGTGATATAAAAATCAGTAAAGCCACCTTACAAGTGGGGTAAAGTGGTGGTGTTGGGAAGCGGTCACCATAGCTTTATTAATTCAATTATAGGTGGCCACTTGCATTATAAAGCAAAAGAGATTGTCAATTGCATCAGTCAACGTCAATTCTGAATCAAAAGAAGAAGAGTTAACAAGCAAAACGAACGTCAATGTATTTCAAAGCGGGAAATAATAGGCAAAGAAATTTAAGATTGGTATTGTAACATAGGAGTTGTTCAAAAAAATTTTGGTACTGTACCATCATGTACAATTTTTATGGGTATTTTTATAATTTTTGTAAATATTTTTATCATTTTTGTGGTGATCGTTTTTGCCACTTTTTTGTTACCTTACAATTGTTTGTGAAAATGCTATGTTACTTAAAATATGGACTTAATCGGTCACAAATATTGAATAAATAGTGAATTTTAATAAATATCGAGAATTATAGTTAAATCAATAATAATAATTAATTAAATCCACATTAAATTCATATTTTAAGTCCACGTAATATTACTTTTTGGCATATTAATACCTTAAAATAGCACCACCGATATACTGAAATTTCTTTGAAAATTAGATAACAAATTAGTATTTAACTCTCACAGCCTCATTGATTCCTTCCTCCCTCCCTCCCTCTTTCCTCCCCCCTTTGTTTGGCATTCACAAAAGGATAAATTATACCCACACTGACATTTGACCAAATAACACAGAGGCCCCCTGACATTTCTAAAATTGCATAGCAACCCCCTGATATTTAAAAATCATGACACAAGCACCCCTTCCGTCTTCTCACTGTTAGTTTGACTAATAGAAAATAGTGATGTCATGGAACAAAATTTATCTAATTCCAAAATTACCCCTTTATAACATGCCCAACATTTTGTAAGACAATATTGTCCACTAATTATCATAATTTATCATTTTAATAACATTAGTTATGCAATTATAAAAAGTAATCAAAGATTAACATTAAACCATTACATGTTAATTAAAATTAATCAAAAATTACTATCAACTAGTATAATTAGTTCAACTAAGAGCGGTGGATTTAAAGTGATGATGGTAGTGTCAATATGTCTACGTGTTTTAGTCTCCTTACTATTTCCTTCCGTCGTGGATTCCATTTCCCCTAGACATCCAGGGACTGACACCTTCGAGAACTTTCCTTCAACACGGAATTTTTCAGGCTCCTGGGTCTTTTCCTTTGCTCTGCTGCTCCGGCAATAACGACACACTACACACCACCACCCATACAAACACCTTCCATTTTCTCTGTCTTCCTCTTCAAAAAAAATTCTTGCCTTTTCGACGAATTGATCTGCACGTAAAAGCCACAACCCAACATTTGGTTGGATAAGTTTTCCGTTCCGTGCGTCCTCGTCAACCCACTGTTGCACAGAAACTCTGTCCATCTTTAGGTTTTCAACTTGTTGATGGAAAGCCTGGACGTTCTTGTCATAGTCATTCAGATAAGTAAATCCAGTCCAAATCGGACCCAAGACTGGTACTATTGTTTTCACTATGTCCATATCGATATTTCTCCCTCTCGTTTTTCAAGAGAAAGTGAAAAAGAGATGTTACAAGGAAGAGAATAGTTTGTGGTGAAATTACAATGAAACAATAACAACAACAACGAGTTTGTGATGAAATTAAATTTAAAAGCAAGAAATGGAAGCTTTTAGGGGCTCGAACTCTTATCTGCTATATGATTGAACCTGGAGCGTATTATAAAGTGAGAGAGATGCAGATTCTTCGGTGTTTCACTAGTAAATGTATCAAGAAAAGATGAGATATTGAGCAGTCGCCTACTTGATCGGAGAGACCTCTAGCGCCTGTAAATTGCTATTGAGCAAAGGAGAGATTGCCAATTGCATCAGTTAACGCCAGTTCTGAATCAAAAGAAGAAGAGTAACAAGCAAAAGGAATGCCAATGTATTTCAAAGCGTGAAACAATAGACAAAGAAATTTAAAATTGGTATTATAACTTACATGTCGTAAGTAAAAAGAGATTATATTTAAAGATGCCGACCATAGATAGAAATTATAATGTAACTTCTCATTTGGTGTTTATACATAGAAATTATGAACTTTAAATTTAACTCGTGAATTCAATTCCATTAAGCAAGCACTTGTGTGATCATTGTCTCTTGTTCAAGAAAAATGCATCAATTCAAAGAGGTTTAGAGCCCCCATTAGCAAGTTAACATAGACAACACAGTTTTCTTCTCCACCTATTCAAAACTCCAAGTATTCAATGCCTAAATTTTTTATTGAAGTGTCTCAATTATGCACTTGCACATGATGTCAATGAAAGTATTCCCATAAATAAATTGTTATACTATAATAACCACCGTGTATACATTTAATCACAAAAAAAAATGTTAAACTTTGTCAACAGAAACAAAGATTACCTGGATATAAAATTGATGAATGGACATGGATAATCGATATTGCTGAGAAATTAAATATTTGACGAATAAATTAGAAGATGATATGAAGGTATTACATCGTGGAATGAATGACAAGGAAGACTAAGAGTTGGTATTGAATGATGGATAACGAATGAAAGCCAATAGACAATAGAAAGATAAATGAAATGTAAATTCAAATGAAATGTGAATTAAATGAAATTTAAATGTGATTGTGATTTGACATTAATGGAATGAGTTGTAATTTGTTACAAACTTGAGTATATGAATTATTATCATTAAATAAGTAGTGGGTATTAATAAATATTATGATCGCCAGTAAAATCAATGATTAGTCTAATATTCTTATTATCGAGCCAAATTTTTAAATTAATTTTTTAAATATGTGTGTCTTTGCTCAAAAAATATTGAGGCTATTGGCTATTGATATAATAATCACTAAACCCACCTTACAGGTCAAGTGGTCGTGCATGGAAGTGGTAACCATAAAAGAGCGAAAGTAACTTTTGGTCTTTAATACTATTCAAACTTTGCATTGGATATGAACTATTTTTCTCCCATTTAATTAGTTGCATTCTAACTAGATAAAAAAATTTTGATCGAGACATAAATGAATTACAATAATCACAACGCCGCTCATCGAGCCAGTAAGGGAACTGAGTCAATAATTCACTGGTTCAACCGTTGGGTTAACTGATCAGACCGATCATATAATAAAAAAATAAAAAATACATATATAATAATTATAAAACTTAATAATTTAGCTAAAAAAATATAAAATATATATAAAATACATATAATTTACCATAAAATTAATGAAATTAAGTAACAAAGTAGGGGTTATTGTATTTTAAAGCAAAGTAAAGAGGTTCAAGTAAATTATAAAGAAAAAGAAAGGGTGTTATTTATAATTTATCCAAGAATAAGGTTAAAACAAATCAGTTATTTACTGCTTTAGGGTAAAAAAATTTATTTATGTAATTTAATTTTTAAATAGGCATTAAACTGTCCGATTTTTATATTTTTTTATTTTTAGTCGATTCGCATCCTTAAGCAGTTCAACTAAAAAATCGAATCGGTTCAAATTCCGGTTCACGGTTGAACCGGTCCGACTAACCGGTTCGATCCGATATCACTGCTCTATACTGTCTCTCTCACTCACCGACAGTAGCCCGACCTTTTCAGCCTCATGTTTTTCGTCCTACTCTTCCTCTAGACTCTCTCTCTCGTTCGCCGACAGTAGCCTCACCGATTCAGCCTCATTTTTTTCGTCCCTGTACAAATAAAGTGGAACCCACAATTATGCCTTCAATTTTTTTCCCTACCACACATCAACATCCGAGAAGATCCTTAAAGATATGATGTCTTGCATAACCATCCATATTCTGTAGAATTTTTTTCCACCGTCAACTTTCTTTTACAGAAATCACGGACTAATTCTGCTCTCGTCCCCCCCTCTTTCTCTCCCGTGGACTAATTTTGCTCTTGTCTCTTTCTCTCTCTTCACGTCAACCGTTGAAAAATTACTTCGACGAGATTGAAAATAAAATCAGAATTAAAATTTTGAGGTTAGTAAAATCACTTTTTTAAAATAATATTTGCTCAATTCGAAGAGTTTATTAGAGGATGCTTGACAAATTACCTTCAAGATACAACAAATCCTTTGAGTAAAGACCTGTAATTAGAAATATTAAACAACTTTCAAAGAAATATTTTTGAACAGTTTTTTATTTCAGAGAAATAGAAAAAGAGAGGGAAAGAAAAATGAGTTATACAAGGCTTCTGACATAACCTTTTTTAAATAGGTGTCTTCTGAATAATAGTTATGCCCCCATACAAAGAGATGTCTTTTCTATCGCAAACACTGGCAGACGCATGTGCAATTATTCGTACACAAACAAATTACTCTTCTGCAAACTATAATTTTCTGTCCACGAGCTCTTCTAATGGCTGCCAAGCTCTCAACTTCAACAATTTCAAGAAATTTTTCCAAATAGGTCCATTTAAACCCATGCCTTGGGTCTGTTTCACACAAAAATAATATCCCAACTACGAAGTTTGTCCAAACAAGTGAGTCTAAAATTTTGACAAGTGCTCACTTTCTCTAAAATTTCCTCTCTTTTTTTTTTTGAACGGTAAAACCCCTTACCTAAAGATTCAATATTTTCACATATTTGCACTTCAGATTAATTCATGCTTTCTTGCAATGATTGGGTAAATTGCTTGGGCTTGTTTGGATCCGAAAAAGGAGAGAGCAGAGAGGAAAGAGGAGATAGGAGAGTCCGGAGAAGAAAGATTATTTGGGTGGAGAGAGAGGGTTTACTTTTAAGTGCAGCTCGTGGGTTTGTAGAACATGAAAAAAAATTGCAGTCTTATTTGACTTGTTGTAACTCTAACTAACTCCATTGACAATCCTTTAGTTAGAGGATCTACCAAATTGTTGTTAGACCATTATCTACATAAGGTTAAAATGTCATCCATTATTAATTGTCTAGCATATTAATGCCTTAAACTAATATATCTAGATTTACCATTATAAATCTTGTTATATGCTCTAGACATAGTTGTTTCACTATCACATTGCAAGTAAATAGGGGGTACGTATCGTTTGAGGGCATAACTTGATATCTAACATTAAATTACTCAACCATTCGACTTCCTTGCTTGNAAAATAATATTTGCTCAATTCGAAGAGTTTATTAGAGGATGCTTGACAAATTACCTTCAAGATACAACAAATCCTTTGAGTAAAGACCTGTAATTAGAAATATTAAACAACTTTCAAAGAAATATTTTTGAACAGTTTTTTATTTCAGAGAAATAGAAAAAGAGAGGGAAAGAAAAATGAGTTATACAAGGCTTCTGACATAACCTTTTTTAAATAGGTGTCTTCTGAATAATAGTTATGCCCCCATACAAAGAGATGTCTTTTCTATCGCAAACACTGGCAGACGCATGTGCAATTATTCGTACACAAACAAATTACTCTTCTGCAAACTATAATTTTCTGTCCACGAGCTCTTCTAATGGCTGCCAAGCTCTCAACTTCAACAATTTCAAGAAATTTTTCCAAATAGGTCCATTTAAACCCATGCCTTGGGTCTGTTTCACACAAAAATAATATCCCAACTACGAAGTTTGTCCAAACAAGTGAGTCTAAAATTTTGACAAGTGCTCACTTTCTCTAAAATTTCCTCTCTTTTTTTTTTTGAACGGTAAAACCCCTTACCTAAAGATTCAATATTTTCACATATTTGCACTTCAGATTAATTCATGCTTTCTTGCAATGATTGGGTAAATTGCTTGGGCTTGTTTGGATCCGAAAAAGGAGAGAGCAGAGAGGAAAGAGGAGATAGGAGAGTCCGGAGAAGAAAGATTATTTGGGTGGAGAGAGAGGGTTTACTTTTAAGTGCAGCTCGTGGGTTTGTAGAACATGAAAAAAAATTGCAGTCTTATTTGACTTGTTGTAACTCTAACTAACTCCATTGACAATCCTTTAGTTAGAGGATCTACCAAATTGTTGTTAGACCATTATCTACATAAGGTTAAAATGTCATCCATTATTAATTGTCTAGCATATTAATGCCTTAAACTAATATATCTAGATTTACCATTATAAATCTTGTTATATGCTCTAGACATAGTTGTTTCACTATCACATTGCAAGTAAATAGGGGGTACGTATCGTTTGAGGGCATAACTTGATATCTAACATTAAATTACTCAACCATTCGACTTCCTTGCTTGCAGCTGCTAGGGCTATAAATTCAGATTTTATAGTTGAATGCGATATACAAGTTTGTTTCTTGGATGCTCAACTAATTGTTCCACCTCCTAACATAAAAATCCAACCTGATGTGGATTTATTATCACTTAGACTAGTAATCCAACTTGTATCAATGTATTCTTCTAGTACAACCGGATAGTCATAGTAAAATAATTTCAAGTTAATTGTCTTCTTGAGATATCAAAGAAATCTATTAATTACTTTCAAATGGTCTATACTAGGTTTACTAATGTATCTCGAGAATTTGCATATTGCAAATGCAATATCTAGCCTGGTACAATGGATTGTATACATTAAACTTCCAATAGCACTAACATATTCTAGTTGCATCACTGTTCTACTAGGATTCTCTGTTAACTTAACATTTGAATCATAAGGCTTATCAGCCTCCTTTATTCAAAGATGTTTATATTTAAGTAATAATTTCTTAATGTAATGAGTTTGACTCAAAGCATATTGATAAACCATCAAAATTACTATTTTATTATATTTAATGATTGGTTAATTGCATATTATTTGTGATTAAATATGTTACATTCGTTGATTTTCTATTTTGATACTTTTTCTAGTTATTTGGTTTATTTTGTAGGTAAATTAGTTGATTTAAAATAATATTGGATAAGACAAATAAATCAATCACTAAAGGAATAATCATAATTGATAAGAATTGAAGAGTCAATATTGAAATGGGAAGACTTGAAGATATAACAACAATTTAATCCTTATAAGAGTCCAAGTTGAAAGAAAACTCATTTAGAGTTAGATTAGGAAAGTATCCTAAAAGATAAAGATTTGACACGTCTTCAGTATGTTGATCATAACTTTTGACTCTGATATCTCATTCACTTGATTTTTGGGGGTTGAAAAAGTGACTTCGAGGGCTATAAAATGTGTATTTCACGATATTTTCATGATTCAACCTCTAAATATGAGAAATTGAAGCTCGAAGTCTGGACAGATTTTGTACCCGCACCCCAAAAATTTTATGCATGAAATTTAACCTTACAAGACTTCTTTTTGGGAAAGGAATTTCTTCCAAGCCAACCTTATATATTCTACATATACGTAGGATTTATTTTTATTATAAATAAGAGCTTTCACCTATTGAGAGAGATGATTAGGATTATGATTATTCTTTTTCCTATCTTTTTATTTTTATTTTAGTTCGTCATATCTAGCTAAAAGGTTAAGCTAGGGTTAGGTGAGAACCTCTCAATGAAGTACGGTAATGTTATTAATTCTGAGTTTAATGATTTATGATATTTTATTAATTTAACTTATGATCTTATAGCAAAGTTTTTGCTCTGTAAAAAATCCTTGAGTCGTTGTGTCATGTA